GCCTCCGGGCTCGAAGACCATGTGGCGCAGAAAGTTGCATATTGGCATAACGGGGGAGATTGATCCCACTGTGCCACACATTTCGTCACCGTGAAAGGCCAGCTTTACGCCCTACCCTGCCTCATTGCACCTTGACTTACAACACTCCTTTTCCCCCTTTTCCGAGAATCTTTCCTCTGCGATTTCCACAAACGACGAAGCGGGCAGGGAGGAACGTAAACGAATCGAAGCAAACGAACCAAATCGCAAAGAACAAAAAGTGGGAAAAGAAGAAGCAAGAAGCCATGTCCTTCGAAGGTCTGCAGGAGCGCCTAACGGCCCTGCAAGAGACCACGACCCAGCTCAAGGAGCTCATCGATCGGCTCCAGAACCTCAAATTCCAGCCGGGATCGGTCCCGCTCGGTAGCGGCGGCACAGCAGCAGGAGCAGATGAGGAGAACAGTGTCAGCGCGGAGCTGAGCTCGGAAATCAGCCAGATCCTCCGGGAGGAGGAGGACGAGCTGGAGCTTCTCGGGGAGGAGGTGGAAGATCTCAGGGACGGCAGGCCGGGGAGCGAGGTGGAACACACAAAGACCCGTCTTAAAGATGGCGTGGAGAGGTTGAAGCAGGAGATCAAGAGGTAAGAATTCCCCCTCACTTTAACTTCGTTCCACGAAGTAATTTCCAGGGAATTTTTGACGGGAAATCAAGAGGTCACTAACACGCAATGTCACACATAGTTCACGAATCACCTTCCGCAAGGCGCAACTCGCAGCTCGGCGCAACCTCTCCCAGGCCCAGCGCCTCGAGCGCGAACTCCTCATCCAATCCTACTCGCAGCCCGTTTCCGAAGCGTCCTCACCGTCCCTCAGCGCGCAACAGAAGCCCGACGTCGTCCGCCACCGACAGGTCCACCAGACGACGAACAAGAACAACACGAGCTCCCTGACAGAGGAGGACAAACAGACGGTCGGCGCCAGCGGCAACGTCACCAGCGCACTACGGCGCACGCACGACCTCATCGCCGCGGAGCTGGCCCGCAGCGAGTTTGCGCACCAGACGCTGACCGAGTCCTCGGCGGCGTTGGCGCAGCTCGACGACTCGTACGGCTCGCTCGACACGATGCTGGCGAGCTCCAAGGACCTGCTGGGCACGCTGCTCCGCTCGAACAAGAGCGATACGTGGTACCTCCAGACGGCGCTCTACATGCTCATGGCGACGGGCGCGTGGCTGCTGTTCCGGAGGTTGCTGTATGGGCCGATGTGGTGGCTGGTCTGGCTGCCATTGCGTCTGGTGTATAACCTCACCGTCGGCGGCGGCGGAGCGGTGGTCAAGTACGCCGGGTCCGGAAGCCCGTCCGAGGCCGTGGTGGTAAACGAGGGCAAGATTGATGTCGAGGGTTTACCAGATGAGTCGCTGCCTACCATTGAAGTCGGACGGCAGCCGCAGCGATCGGCGGTCGGTGGAGATCCCGAGTCGCTGGTTGAGAAGGTGGGTAAGATCGTGGAGGAGATGCCGGCTGAGATCGGCGAGGAGACGGCGGTAGACGAAGGTGAGCCGCTAGAGGGTGAGGCCGTTGTTGGCCAGGTGCCCGATGATGAGCTGAAGCAAGGGGTGCAAGAAGAGATTAGGCAACGAGACGAGCTCTAAGTAAGGTAGTCAGGCGACCAGATGTCGAGGGGCTACTGTTGCGAAACGCCTAAGTGGTCTCGGTGAAAGAAGAAATATCATCACATGGACAATGATTTTGATCTCCGGCACTCGTACGTTTGACCCAGGTTGCGACGTGGTAGCTGTATTGCTGTGAGGCCTAAACTAAGCGGTGCCGTTGCAAGTCTGGAGAAGCGCCCAAGGCGCCGTTTCTTTGTCCATCATGTATGTGGCATTCCATCGTAACGGCCAGGCCGCGATGAGGAATTTGGCAATTACGATTTTCGCAGACTGGCGCATCTCGAAGCCTTACCCCGGCTCCAAAGTTCGTCCCAAGAAGCACCCTTTAGAGCTTATTTCAAGAAGCGCCGTTCTAACTTCTAGAAAGGAGAAGTGACATGGGAAGCCGGGTGGTTTAGCAGCCAATGACATGCTGCGATCGTGAGGCAGGGATGTGCCTTTTCTCTGCCACGTTCTCCAGTGCATTGAACTTGGGCGCCAGGGAGGAGCATAGAAAGGGCCGGAGCGGTCTAGTGTTCGGACGGGGGAGGACGGCATGACGTTGTGAAATTTCCGTTCTCTGGGATTGAGCAACAGGGAGCAAAGTCGGACATGCCGTGGGATTTGGTTTTGGTGAGACCCATTACCAACAAATGTTGCCATCGAAAATATGTAGGCCGATGTTGTAGTAGTTACTCGAGGGCCCGAATATACGAGACAACCCGTAGCAGACTGCACACAACCCAAGACGACAAAAGGTGTACCTAGCGATGTCTCATTCATCGCCAAATTCTCCGACTGCCTACTGCAAACGGGAGTCAGAAGAACTGAAATGGTGCATCGCCACAGGCGGAGGCTTGACGGCGCTTCCTCTGGGCGGGCCATGACCCGTAACGCAAGTCCAACGGCTCTATGGCACGGCATTGGTGTGTTGGGGAGGTGTCGTGTGGCACTGTCTATAGGATGCAGATCAAAGATCGTTCATTGAGCGATGTGGTTGCTGGGCATCTCGTATTCATGCAGAATCCGCTTCATACGAAATCCAATGAGGCGAAATGTATTTCTGGGATCGTTGGTCATATTCTCAATCTCACTGCAGCTGGCAACGGCACTTGGGTCTCTGGGAGCACGTTGTGTATAATCAGCACTCGCAGGCCCGTGTAAGTGGTTGGCCTGACGGGTAACGGCATATGACGATGATCGGCTGTCGGTCGGGAATAGAGTAGACCCAAATGAAGCCGGACGAACATGAGCTCGTTTGGACGGATATCCATCCCGTCCTGTAAAGAGCCGTCACTAGGAGGTGCTTCGAAACGAATCTAGGTCGCAGGGGGGAGGACTCTCAGTGGACTGATGGATCTTCATGACCCGTCACCGGTGTCGCCCCTTGGCCGACAGATGAGCAAAGTGCCAAACGCTGTTGACTATTCACCATTTCACCGCAGTTGGCCGTCCCACCATCCGCAAGAAAACTTGGCGGCAGGTTGAGACTCGCTCAGGTTCCGACGTTCCGTCTCATCTAGTGCTCATCTTGGGTCTCTGGAATGGCTGTTCAGGTGCTAGTCGGCAGCGCATCTCAGCTGTCTCAGGTACCCGATGGAGCGCTTGCGCAGTGGTATAGAGTGTGGCGCTCCAGCGCTTTGTCCGGTCGACAGGTCGACAGCGCTGGTCGTCCGGCCCCTGAGACAAGGGCAAGTGCCCTCGGCCAATGGCACGGTGCCATTAGCCAGGAAACCCTGCATTACTCGAGGAGACGCGCCAGGGTCGTGTCACGCTGGTCGTTGAGCATTCGTCCGTGAAAATCGTCTGTTTTCTTTCCTTCTGCTAATGTTTTCCCTGTGCTTGGCTGTCAACATCGTCTGAACGGTTTTCTTCTCTAATACCACACAGGCACAAGTAAGCCTCTGCAGCTATATTGCCGTGGGTGCATCGATAGCGTGCTGTATGGGTACAGGGCTCAAATTGAGGCGTTAATGCCTCGAATACCAAATTCAATGTGTCAAATGAGACCTTGTATCCGCGTGGTGGTGGTGGACGGAGGCTAAAGTTGTGGCGAGGTTCGATCGAAGGCCTCGACAAAATGCAGAGGGGAATACGAACAGACCACCAGACCAACGGCCCTCCACACTGATGTAATACCTAGCTGGCCTTGGACCCGGCAAGTCCTGTGGATGGAGACATTGCAAGGGACGAGACAGCTGACAATTGGCTCGCCGTTGCAAACAATGAGAGGAGATTCGAAGAGGCCCTGGCAATCCTGGCAGAGGGAGAGAGCAAAAAGTCAAAGTGCAATTTTAAAATTGGGATTAAACAGTTAGTCCGGGCCCACTTTGGCAGGCATGGTTGGTCTGCAAGTGCTGCACCTCGTTTCTGGACCGGGAGTATTTTCTCGCTCTTGCTTTCGCTTTCGATGCGGACGGAAGGGAAGAAGGAAGTGGGCTCTCTCCTCCGTGCCTCCTTCCTAGTGTATCCGTAAGTTCCTGCCTTACTTCGAAAAGGCTCAAAGTGCCTAACCTTAAGGCTATATGCGGTACGTACCTGCCTTAGGTCACGTCCTGACCTCAGTCCATGGCGCAGGTCCCAATCTTTCCCCAGACGCGGCGCGATCCAATTCGATCGTCAACCTCCATCCAACCTTGCTTTGGGCTCCCCTTTTTTCGCTTGTGTTTGGCTTTTGAGTCCTTCCGCCCACATCAACAACAAGGGACGGGGGCAACCGGCTATGAGTCGAGTCACAAGTCACAAGCTCAACCCGAAGGAGAATCAGGTCTTGTTGGCCGGCTTGGCTTCTAGTACGTGGTGCTGCTCCGTACCTAGTACTTACTTTGCTCTCTTGGTCGTCGTCTCCTGCTAATACCTAGTGTACGCAGTAAAACTTTCCAGGTCCTCGTTGAGCCCACACCCTGTCTACCCACCCCAGAATCCGCCCTTGCAAGTTGCGTGCAGACACAAGCGTGTTCCCGGCCCATCGACACACGAAGAACATCAATGGGCCACACAACTTTGCAGCTGAAGAGGTGAAGGGGGTGGGTGGGCAGCGCAGGGAAGAGGCCACACTACCAAGGCTAATCATAGCATGGCACCTGGGGGCGCGCCTTGGCTTGTCACCCCGAGCGGGAAAAGGTCGACATTGGATCCAAAGATGGATTTTCGCTCGGAACACTGCACACTATTAAACCCACCTCCAGTCCATCCACTCTGTTCCTGGTCTCCCTTCCTTTCCTCCCTCCCTCTCTAGCCTCTGCCATACACTCGTTGCTCGATCACCTGTTTCAAAACGCCTACATTCGCTGTTTGTGTCCGGATATCAACAACTTACACCATTCTTAATACACCCGTGTAACACCACAAACCAACTATTACCAGTCAAGATGCGTTTCACCTCCATCATCGTCACCGGCGCTTTCGCCGTCCTGGCCGCCGCCCAGTCTACCACCACCACCTCCGCTTCCGCTGCCTCCTCCGCCCAGGCTGTCATCGAGAAGTGCCTGTCTGGCTGCCCTGCTACCGACGTCAACTGCCAGGCCAAGTGTATCTCTGTACGTTGAGGAACCCAAATACGGCGCCATCCCGATGAAATTTCAAGAAACGACTAACACATGGTGCTCACAGGTCCCCAACCCCAACGAGGACCAGGTCAACAAGACCACCGCCTGCGTCGCCAAGTGTGATCAGGGTGACGGATCTGCAGCTCAGACTGAAAAATACGCCCAATGCACCCAGAAGTGTATCGCTGAGAACTACTTCAGCAGCGGCGCTACCCCCGCTGCCACCGCTGGATCTGGATCCGGCTCGGGCTCAAGCGGTAGCGCAACTGCTGCCACTGCTACCGGTTCCGCCGCCACCGGCTCTGCCTCTGGCACTGCCACCCGCGCTTCCGGCTCATCTGCTGCCTCTGGCACCGAGGCTGCTTCCAGCTCATCATCTACCGCCAACGCTGCTGCCCCCGCCCTGGTTGGCTCTGCTTCATTCGGTGTTATTGGTCTCATCGGCGCCGCTCTCCTTATCTAAATACCTTGGACATTCGGAGGATGAACATAAAAGGTGGATGAGAAGATGAGTGGGATGAATGTATGGATTCACGGAGAGGGGTATATACCATTTGGGAGACGATTGCTATATATGTGGTCAATGATTTAATAGGCAGATTACAAGGATATGCGTTAATGTTACTAGCGGACACCAACGTCTGCCAAACTTCAATATCACAATATCTTCCTCATACTTCGTGTGCAATTGAAGAGGGTCATCTTTCTGCGTGACATATGGTACATGTATCGTGTTGAACGCATGTTCCAAGTCATGAGGGTTCCCGAGGCGATGACTACTTGCAACGACATATTGTTCTGGTGCGCAACGCGATTTGCTTCTTGACGGGCGGCGGTCTGGTTTCAGACACAAGTACTCCGTTAGTGACCCCTATTAAATTGTTCATTGTAGGGACGTCACAAGACCTCCCCCGTCAGATCGATTTCTTTAACTTTTAATCTTCCATCAGGACCGGGTAGGAACAGTTACTGGAATGTCGCTGATCCAGGGAATGCCCAACTGTTTCATTTCAACAGCCAATTGGAAGAGATAATCCAAGCTACGCAACGTCCTCGTTAGCATATTTCCACGCTTTCTTTTGCGAGACAGATAATTGTTACGAGGGAAAATCAGGAACAAGGGATGAGGGAATAGGAGGAATGTTTCCAAGATGGGAAGAGCAGGTTTCCGTCCCGATTTTCTGTTACGGGGAGAGAGACATGATAGTCTCATTCTCCCGGAGGAGGGACTTAGACTCACCTCTCACACTGCGTCTTGGCCTTGTGGACGTTGTCGCCCCAGACGTAGACGCCGTGCCTCCGCACCAGCACGGCGTAGGTATCGGGGTACTTGTCCATGGCCTCCTCGAGGAACTCGGTCAGGTCTTCCTCGTGGGCCGTGTTCTCGATGACGGGGATCCGGAGGGTGTCGTGGTACCCGAGGTTCCCCTGCTTTTGAAATCCCTTTCCGAAGCCCTTGATCTGTTCAATGTTGTTGATCTCAAACAGCCTGTCGTTGCCGCCGGCGCGGGCCTGACCCTCGAGGATGAGAGTGACGAGCACGGCCCAGTGGGAGTGCGTGTGGATGCAGCAGCCGGCGCCGCGGCGGGTGAAGGCGGCGAGGAAGAGAGGGGTGCACTGGGAGGGCTTGTAGGAGGGCGGGGAGCGGAGGTAGACGCGGTTCTTGAGGGATGCTTCTTGAGCGGCGAGGGAGAGGACGTAGATGTCCTGGGGCTTCATGAGTTCTTTTTGGACGCCTGAGGGGGCGAGGTAGACGAGGTCGCTGGGAGGGTGTAAGTGAGAGTCATGGTTTTGGCGTTTTGTTTCTTTTTGTGTGTATGTTCACCGTGTGTGAGGTGAAGTTTGTGAGCGAGGGGTATGATGCGATGTTTGTCTCCTTCGTGTATGGAAATGAGGAAGCAAGTAGTGATTATCGAATGAGATATGGACAAACATAGCCCTTTTACAAGTACGACTTGAGATTTATGGACTTACTCATCTCGAATGGAGCAGCCACCACCGGTGCCAGTAACCCAGCCTAGTGTCCAAAACTTTGCGCACAGCGAAGGAATGAGATTCGCGGGGTGGTTCGGGTCGTTGGAGGTGACGAGCATGTCGGGGTTCTCAATCTCAGTTGTGGACGCCATGGTGGGCTGGCTTTCTGAGATGAGTTTCGCGGGGTAATTTGGGTAGTTGAACGGGGGTAGTCGAATTCTAAGACTGTGTTATCCTCGATTCGGCTCCCGCTAGAACTTGTAGATGGCAGTAAAGAATACGGAGGTCCTAGTTCGAGGGTACAAAACTGTTTATCGGGTATCCAGGAAAATTTGAGCTCGCGTTTGCGATAGATTTACTCAGTAAAACCAAGTTTCTCTCACAAGAGTCGGGAAATTTTCTTACCAGCCACACGAGCGTGAGGCTGAGTGAGGTGAGAGGAGAGTTGAGCCAGTGGCAGTTGTCGACTTCCCCACATGGCAAGCACGCAAAGACACGGAACGCTCCTCCTCCACGCCCAAAGAGTTACGACTTACGAGACAGTGACAGAGGCTATTGCGATTGGTCAATCCGCGCCATCTCGCAGCTTTCTCTGAACTCGGGTCCATCGCCGCCCCAATTACAAATGGGCGCCTGCAGGTCATAGCTGGTAAATGCGATGGCGGACTTCACAAAGCCTCTTAGGACGGCACGGGTACACGCATTGGCAAAAGGAGACGGATACCAACAGGTGGTGCTAGAAGAGATGATGAGACAAACTGGTGAAGAATCGGCGGCTAGTCCGGTCAGTGGTTGAGGCTGATTAGGCGTCCTGCAGGTGATGCGGAAAAAAAAGAGGACACCTAGCCTTTTTCCGACGACGCCTGAACGCCCACGTTTCTATTTATCCTGTCGAGTGGGGAGCGCCCACCTCAACGCCCTTACTCAGGAGGAAGGGGGAAGCTTTCGTGAGATATTAGGACAAATTAGAAGCCTGACTCCTGTTATATTAAATCCGCAAACACGCCTGCCCGAAATGGACATCGTTTCGATCAATCGAGCCTATGAAACTCAGCCAGGATCGTGTCTTGCCAGTGTCAATCAGGCGCTGGCTTGGACCGAGGCATATCTGTGCATTTTCGCAGTCTTGTCTGCTCAATGCGCACCCATATTACTATCCTGGTCGACAGTTTGTAATATTAGTAAAGCAGTGAATGGCAATGGCAGCTCCAATGGCGCGGCACTGATACAGTCCATCTCGAGACATTTCGGGACCAGCCGCCAACCTGAGATGCTAGCCTCGATTGAATCGCGACACATCGCAGAGTGCATGCTCCTGAGAGCGATACACCAGTGGCTCCTCTCTCTCAGTCTTCCTTTCGTCTTCCACCACCTGAGGTGCAAAAGTAAAGGATGGCAACCCAGCCAAGGTCGGAAGAGCTCAGTCCATCAACCAGGATCAGCAATTGAGACTTTGGAAGCTCGTCGAAGCACCATGAATATCCCCCTCCTTCCCTTCACTGTTAGAACCAGTGGATCCCGTTCCGTCGCCAAGGGCCCCCGCACTTTCCTCACCTCACCGAGCCACAGTCCGCAGCCCGCATGTCATTGTCAGCAGAAGCAGCCCACTGAAAAAGGTACCGTAGCGGCTTTGCATTGGCTACACCGGGCTGCGGTGGGCAGCGGCGTGCTACCCCGACGACCCCTGAAGCTAGGTAGCGGACTGCATGCTACGGCAACTGCTCTCGCTGCTGGTCCCCCCGAAAATTCTCCAATTTTCTGGGAATTTGATTGGCTCAGAACCTCTGCCTTGCCGAACCTTACCCCGACGGGCCACACCTTAGTGAGCTCTCCCCTACCTGGCCTCTTTTTCGGGTGCCTCTGCTTTTGGTCGCTGAGGTTTTGCTGGGGACCTTTACCGCAAAAAAAGGACACGTTGAGCACAACCCGCTTGCGCGTGCCTGCCTCACGGACTGATAAATCCGTCGTCTTCCTCGCCCCATTCCTCCTTCCGAAACTCTTTTCCCTCTCCTTGGGAATTTCCTCCTCGAAAATACCAATCCTCTCTATCCACCGCGACCGGGAGCCCTTTCTTACCCTTTTGTCATTCAATTGACAATCTTTCCTTTACAACCCAACAGCTTTAACGCTACTTACCTCCCCCCTCATCTACCTGAACCCGACTGAAGCCGAGACACCGATACCACACATTCTCGCCCACCATGAAGTTCAACGCTGCTGCGTTGTCCGCCGCGGCAATGTTCGCTGGCGCCTACGCCGACGATGCTCAGAAGGTCCTCAGTGAGGAGAAGACCTCCACTGCCGCTGAGTCCTCTACCTCGGTCGCTCCCCAGCTGTCCACCTTCACGGTAAGTTCTTCCCTTTTCATTGCCAGTGGCTTTCTTTGTTGCTCCGAGTGAAGCCTCCTCCCCCTCACTGGTCATTCGCTGCAGTCTCATGCTTGACGCATGAGCTCAATGCACAATGGGAACGGGCTGGGGGCCGCTCTTTGGAGCTTCTCCGCACCTGCTCTACCCGCAATGAAATAAGCAATTATCTGACAATGGCTTTTAATTCTACAGCCTACCGCCCTGAAGGCTCCTTTCTTGGAGCAGTTCACCGACGATTGGGAGACCCGCTGGAGCCCTTCTCACGCCAAGAAGGACTCCAAGGATGACGAGGAATGGGCCTACGTTGGCGAGTGGTCCGTCGAGGAGCCTACCGTCTACAAGGGCATGGAGGGCGACAAGGGTCTTGTTGTCAAGAACCCCGCCGCTCACCACGCCATCTCGGCCAAATTCCCTAAGAAGATTGACAACAAGGGCAAGACCCTCGTTGTTCAGTACGAAGTCAAGCTTCAGAGTAAGTTTCCGGTTCCTGTGCTCATACTACGACCTTACAACAGAGTGCTAACAATCTTTCCTTCTCAGACGGTCTTGAGTGCGGTGGTGCTTACCTCAAGCTTCTCCGTGAGAACAAGGCTCTCCACTCCGAGGAGTTCTCGAACGCCACTCCCTATGTGATCATGTTCGGTCCCGATAAGTGCGGCCACACCAACAAGGTTCACTTCATCTTCAACCACAAGAACCCCAAGACTGGTGACTACGAGGAGAAGCACCTTACCTCTCCCCCCACCGCTCGCATTGTCAAGACCACCGAGCTCTACACTCTCATTGTCCACCCCAACAACACTTTCATCATCCAGCAGAACGGCGAGCAGGTCAAGACCGGCTCCCTTCTTGAGGACTTCTCCCCCTCCGTCAACCCTGAGAAGGAGATTGACGACGCCAAGGATTCCAAGCCTGAGGACTGGGTCGATGAGGCCCGTATCGCCGACCCCGAGGCCAAGAAGCCCGAGGAATGGGATGAGGACGCCCCCTACGAGATTGTCGACGAGGAGGCCACCAAGCCCGAGGACTGGCTCGAGGATGAGGCTCAGACCATCCCTGACCCTGAGGCCCAGAAGCCCGAGGACTGGGACGATGAGGAGGATGGTGACTGGGTCGCCCC